AACAATTTTAGTTTTCAGTCCTTCTAGTTTCCAAAAATCTACCGAGCTAGTGTTCTGGTGTGCACAAAAGCCCCTAAGCCCGTGCATTCCTTGCCCCGCTAGCTGCCAGTCCTTGACAAACTTCCAATAGCAAAGATCAACTAGTCATTTACAAATTGAGCACTATACAATTTTAATTGTTTTAAATATTTGACTTTGTAAAATGAGCTAAAACATTGATTTATTAGTTTCATTGATTAGTTTCATTGAGAGGCGCGCACTCAATTTAATCACAAATAACGAGCGCGCGGTTTTTGGAATTTCTCCATTATTATTACTCGATCTATTAATTAGATCGCAGTGCTCACGGCCTGTACTGCGTGAACGACAGAAATATGTTTTAAATTATTTTGCTTCTGAAATTTTGGCTCTAGTAATTAAGAAATGCGACATGTAATTGTAAGATAACAATTAAATAAATACTGTGCGCGGCGCCTACAGCTGACCTACGAATTTCTGAACAATTGAAAATTGTGGCTGTGTGCGCGGCGTACTGTATATGTGTTTGAAATTGAAATTTGAATTTATTTATGAATATAACATTATGTATTGATTGTTTTGTGGTAAATAAAAATTTTTTCTTTCCTAAAATTTTTTCTTTCCTGCTAGAAAGGGTAAACCCGGTTAAATGTAGTCTGTCACAAAAGGTAAATAAACATGTGATCAGAACTAACATTCCCCGGTTTTCCTTTTCCGGCAATGCTAGCCCCATTTTCTCTCAGGGTTGCACACTTTTTACCCAAATCTACTCTCAATGACCCTGCCTGAGAGATCAGCTGTCTTGTTTCTCATCGAAGAGCGATAACGGTGGTTTATTACCACATTTTATCGTTGGCCAGATTTTTGGATAATTTATCGGATGATGATTAATCACTCTACACTCGACTGTCACGTGACTTTTTTAATAGTTCCTCTAGGTGGCTCTGAATGACTATTCGATATCTCGCTAGGGAAGCATTTTAACCTTATTTCATGTGGGTGATTCGGAATCAGCGTTCGAAAATATATCGAATCAAGTAGATCATTTCAACCATTTCAGGGGCCCTTTTAGAAAAATCTCGAAGATCGACTGTAAAGTGATTTATCACGCTCGTAATTTATCAGCTTACTGGACAACAAGCTTTTTAAAAAGGGGCTTGCCTGTTTTCATTCCATCTGATGCTGCATCCTATATAATCTTAATCCCCTTTAAGGTTACTTTAACTGCTAAATATGCATTTATTGTGTAAGTTATGGAATATGGATGCGTGATTTTCTTTATGATCGTTATAATTACGAATAATCAATAATAATATACGTCATAGGTATTAAATTTTTTTCATTCCGCTAGATGTAAAATGCTATGATCTAGTTTAAATCCTATGTAATGGTGTTAATGATTCATTTATATATCCAAAGAAAGTATAGTGAAGTTCAGTTTTCTGTCATCATAAAAAATTAATTATAAAAAGTGTAAATCCACAAAAACGTGCGCGGCGCGCTTAAAATTTAAAAATATGTGTTTTTAAATTTTAAAAAAAGATTTTTATTACAATTGCATTTGCAATGTCAACTGTGCTTCTCAAATAAAAAGTGTGATCTGATTAAATAATATAAATTTGGCAAATATTGTTTTATGCACCAGCCGGCCTGTTCTGTGTTCCATTTTGGATTGTTGGGCCTGTTGACTACTGCGTTCACAATATTTGCTCTATCCTGAGCCCTTGCGCTTGCAGTAGCGCGCGCCCGCCTCACGGCGGTAAAACTTGTGAAACAAGCGCGCCCAAAGTGGCGCGAAAGCACATGGTTAGGTGAACGTTCACATAGCCATGTGTATACGCGCGTACTGCACAGGGGGAGCTGAAACCAGGTTTTCGATCAAACGCTGCCATGTGTAGTCAAACGTCGCCAAGAGTTGCTCTCGTCCAATGAAATCGCTGCATTATGTAAGCCAAGCTCCGCATATGAATATATGTAATTCAATTATGCATACTAACTTGCAAAATGCAGCGATTTCATTGGACGAGAGCAACTGTTGGCGACGTTTGACTACAAATGGCAGCATTTGATCGAAAACCTGGTTTCAGACCCCCCTGTGACTGCATGACGCGCTTGTTTCACCTTCGGCGGTCGCGCGCTACTAGCTGCAAGCGAGAGGGCTCTGGTTAGAGCAAACTACTGCGTATTGGATCATGTCGCGCATCAAACATCAAATTATTTTCTTGCCACCAGTAAATCTGGGGAAAAAATAAAACGTATTTTTGTTTGTTGTTTAAAAAATGACACGCCAAGTAAATATATTTTTGGATCTTGAGGTAAAAATTGTACTAAATTGTGCTATTGGGCCGCACTGCGCAAATTATTTTTCTTGTTTAGCTACCGTCTGTTGTCGTCAGATTTATGTAAAAGACTTATTTGAATGTATCGAATAAAAATATTTAGGCGCGCCGCGCATATTTTCGCATATTAATACCGTAGTATAAAAATCGAGCGCTACAGCGAGTATTTCATATTATTTTACATAACTATCATAGGAGTTGTTCCATCTTATTGAATCTCATATATTGGAATACCTAATATCTATATGTGAACTTTGCCTGGTTTCTAACATTGTTTTCATATATCCTTACTGATGAGAAAAGGGGGATTCCCATTGTCTCCAGTGCATTTTATCCTCCAGTAACTTTAAAACGCGACCATGAAACATCGTACTTCGATGTCAACAATTCATCTTTGTTGCTTGTTACTGAAGCTACATCTAAATGAATCCTCTAAGTATCTACTCTTTTTTGTCTTTCTATGTGACTATAATAAAACAAATATTTTAATTAAAAAAATATTTATTAGATATTTTGAACATGCGACAGTTCTGTAAGATCACATTGTAACAAGTTTAAGCCGAGAAGATTTAAATTAGTCCGTCTTTATTTTGAAAGGGGTCTTGGTAGAAGAGAACAACACGGAATTTTGTACAACAACAAGATACAAAAACAAGGGCAGGTCTCTCCTACAAGTTGGGATGACCTGAGGTGCTATCCCCTTTTCGGTAACCCTAAGCTACTCTGTGCTGAGGCACTATACGATACTAGCTGTAGGGGGTTAGTCCTTCGAGCCAGAGAGTGTGTATCACCAGCCGAAGCTGTACCAAATCACAGCTTGGTAACTGGCCGACTTGCATCTGACCGGATTTGAACCCGGGCCTTCTGCATGGGAGGTGATCGTTGTACAACTCTCGATCTTATTTTTTAAAAAAGTACATTTCGTATGTGGTCCCAATTCAGTTAAACAAAAGTTCAGTTAAACAAAAATTCAATTTTATGCCATTTATTACAGAGTAAAAAAGTTTACAATAAATCGATTTGATATTTAAAGGAATCCTAATCAGCAAACGACCGGGGCTAGGATTTGGCCGGGCCGGGGCCGGGGCCGGGAATGTCCAAATTTTGCTGGGGCCGGGAATTGGCCGTTCTGGAATTTGGCCGGGGCCGTGAATTTAATAAATCCACGGCCAAGTTAGAACTTTTCAGGACTTAGGATCTGAACTTATTTTTACATGACAATATAATGTTCGTATCAATTGAACAGTTTAGAAGGTAATTAGATTTCATATATATTTTGGTAAAATAAATAAAAGTTGGCACTCTGGACATCATCCTTTCAAAATTGAAAATCCATTTTAAGATTTATATGAAAGTTTTAGGCCGATTTCGATCAAAAATTCCCGGCCAAATTCCCGGCAAAAATTGAAAATCGGCCGGGGCCGGGGCCGGGAAGAAATAGCTCCCCCGGCGCCGGGATTTCACGGCGCCGGGAATCCCGGTCGATTACTGATCCTAATTCAATGTGTAGTATGGTTGTCACTCTTTAAATAGATTAGATATAGGTTGACGGGGCAAAGGAGTGTGCGTGCTGTTCGCTATTGCTCACACCAAACGGCAACCTAGTAAATGTTTTGTATGGACACCAGTCTTCATCACGATACAAAATTAGGATTGGGGGGGGGGGGGGGGGGGGGGGGGGCAACCATATTAAAGTATATTAAAGTATATCCCCGGGTCAAAATCGGGAAAAATCCTACATTTTAATATACTTTAATATGGTGGGGCCCCCCCCCCCCCCAGGATTGTAGAATTTATTGTATAACTTTTAGTGCAGTGGAGGGAGCGGTGTGGTGCATTAATAGAGTGACAGCCTACTGATTTAGAGTTGTTTTTAAGTGAGCATAATGGGTATATTTTTGGACCTAAAGGCTTTACTATGGCAACTTTAAAATTGGTTCTGTTAATCATTTATTAAATATCACTTTAAAAATATATAAATCTGGAATCTGTTCACACTGTGAACCAGTCCTATAAAAAAACCCTCTTAAATTAAATATTAAAAACGTCTCAATAATGGAAATAGTCATACAATTAAGAAATTTTCCAAATTCTTAATATCTACCTTAAGAGAAAAATACCTACCTAAGTCAATGTCTACCTGTAATACACTAAATATTAGGTTAAATACATAGGTGGTGGAGTCAGCACACATTTACCAAAATCAAAATTTTTTAATAGGAGGAACCTGTGGGCCGAGAACACTGGATTAAATTTGTTGAAGGGGATTGTTTTCAAATGACAGCTGCATTATGTCATAATCGCTTGAAGTCCATGCTGAATCATTATAAGCATGTTGCAGCTTTATAAGCAATTTACATCTGTTCAAGTGGTTCAGTCAATATTTTAGATTGGAAATATTCTGCATTTTCAGGGTTTGATTTTATATAGGGTCATTGTATTGCCGATATTATGTGTATATTGTTTAAATACTTTACTTAGTTGTTTACAAAATAAAAATACATCTGTTCTGTTGTTCAAAAAGAAAACAACTAATTTTTAATTGTTATATTGCTATTATCTATATTTACATCTGCTCATCTCCAATGGAGCTCCACTGTTCCTCACAATAAATAGACTAATAAATTCGTCAATATTCAGTAGCCATGCTTGCAAGGCGCTTAGTCGCTATTGGATATGTCTGTTCCCGTAACCTCAGTTTTTATGACACCCGGAGTAAAGGTCCTGATATGTCAAAAGATACCTTGTTTGATGAAAACTTTGAGGTGCGGGAAGAGCTCTACTTGAAAAAAGTTAATCCAGTTCTTGAGTTCACAGTTTCACGGTGGTGGAAATTCAAAATGCATGTAAGTTTGTTTTGCATATAATGTCAACTCATAGTTTCAACGTCATTTAACTTGAGTTCTAGTGACAAATAGGTAACAGAAATAGAACTGTGTGGTAATTAAGTTTTAGCAGTTTTGGTGTTTGTTTTTGATATGAATTGTCTGCTAAAAAAATGTTGTTTCTGCAGATTCAAATACTTTTCGGGGGCAAGGTTCCAGAGATTAAATCACCTCAAGAAGTCAAAGAATGGAATGAGCTGATGTATCGACTAGAAGAAGTTTACTTAGAGATACCTCAAAAAATGCCAGATCAACAATGGTTTCACGATCTTATAGATCACTACACCAAGTACAATGATTATGAAGGGGCACTAGACTGTTTTAAATGGTTTGACGCTCATGATATTTGGATAAACATGGATCAGGATGTTATGGATAAATTTGAACTGTTCTTTGAAATGAACGATCCAAAATCTTTGACTCAGTTATCAGACCATCAGCAACAGCTTAGGGAGGAGCTACAATTGAAATTCAAAGATATGGACAATAATCCAGAGAGGTGGTATAAAAAGAGACAGGTTGCTATCGATAATGGCCGCAAGCGAGGTGATTTGTTACCTGAAGGTGACAGAATCTACAGTGGAGGAGGGTATTAACTTGTTTACTGATCATTTTAATTTCCTTGCTTGCAACCTTTGAACATATATACTGATCATGTTAGAGAGATAAAATTAAACCAATTGCATCCAGCTTTTTAAGACATTGCCCAATGCCCAATCTTTGTAAATTATAAATACTGATTATAAATTAAGTTTACGTTTTTTTACTTCGAGATCGTTTTTATGATTTGCAATTTAATTGTGTTGATGATAAATCTGAAATTTATAACCTCACATTTTGACGAGATTTATCTTAATTCATTAATACTGAATTTACATATAATATATATATAATGATCTAGATCATTTCTCATCTTCACACAACTTTAGTTAACGCTATCTATGTAACACACTGCTAAGAGGAGATGTCGCTGCTAAGGACACTAGTGAAAACAGTGCGACCAGGGCTTGCATGTGTTCCAGTGAGGACTATAAGAGCTAAACCCAAGTATTACCACCCTGCTGACCCTGATGCTGATGAGGAACAGAAGTTCAATGAGGAGTTTGGGTTAGCAGAGCCCATTCCAGACACCTGGGGTGTTAGTAAGAACGAACCGTGGTGCTGGATGTTTGATCCTTTCTATAAAGCTAAAACTAGGGTAAGTCATCATTCTCATTACTTTATGGACAAAGCTTAGAAATTTCATGAGATTCTACATCAGTGATTGGTGTTTATTGATTTCTTTTAAATAAAACCGGGGATCAGCTGTAATGAGAAGTTACTTTCAGTTTTGGAGTTTGTTTGGATCGCCACTTTACTTAAGACAGTCTGATCAAGAGAAAGCTGACTCAGCCGTTCTGACGGACAGATTGCAGGAGTTTTACAAGTCAATACCTCAGAGTTACCCTGACCGAGATTGGTGGCATGATTGTATTGATCATTACGTCCGGTACGTGTTCATAGGTTATAAGTTTTGAGATCAATCAATTGAAATATATCATGACTCCATATATCGGTATCTACTAGACCCAAAAAAAATAATGATCATGTTGATTTAAAGTTAGTAAGCCAGCTAACCATTAGTACAAATCAGGTACAACGATTTTGACGGAGCTGTAAGAATGTGGCACTGGCTTAAGGAATACGAACTTGACGTTGATCAGGCAGTACTGGATAAATTCGACAGGTTCTTCATCGAGAACGATCCTATTGGTTTCATGACGAAAAGTATTCCTGCGCAACTTCGAGAAGAAGATGAATACATGCCCAAGTATCCTGAGTTGATAAATGACAATCTTATGAGAATAGGAGAGTATGGCATTGAACCAGAGGCTTGAATAAGTTACTTAAACTATTTCAGTTGCAGTGGTTCAATGAAGCTTTTCATAAGACTCTTTAAATACGCCTTTACTGAAATGTGCCAATCTAGTTCGCTACACGGAAGTTTTAATTAATGCATTTAACTAGTGAATTATCAAAATTCATTAATCACGGTTAATTAACTTATTCCACTAATCGTTTCGGTTTTAAAATATTGATAACTTTTTCAAATTGTTCTTTATCTGAGACTTGGGAAGTTAACATCCGGAATAATTTAGAGTCTGGACAGTGAGTGGACACTAATAAATATCATCATATTGATTTAAGTTATTGATGAGTTTCTACATAAAACTTGACTATTATTATCCGTACTTGTTGTAAATTTACTCAACCCTTAAAGACTGACTACCAACCAATGATCTTGGTTTAAAATCAAACTAATTATACAACTTACTGCCACTTTCTATCACTGCTTAATTAACACAATACCACTATAATGTAGATGTAAGATGATGAGTGCCAGTGCATTACGTACCCTAGCCCGGCCTGTAGCAGGTCTCCTTGCTAGACGGACTCTTACTCCTACTGTATCCAGGTTCCTTTCTGATAATGCTCCTAATGATTTTTACAAGGTAACTAATCTGCTGGATATTACACACTACATTTACATTGTTGTACTTTTAGGGTTGTAACTTGAAGTTGGCCCCGGAGATAACTGTGAATTACATTAATTAATTATATTATTAATTAATAATTATACCATCTTTTAGTTTTATATGTGTATTTTGAATGTTTAATCTAAGATATTTGCACCTTAGTCAGATAAAACTTTATCGTTTATTTCTTTCCCATGAATATCCTATTCTATTCCTGATAACTTCAAGTAACACGTCATACTGAAGAGTGATTCATATTATAGTACATTCAGACGTGTTTTAAAATTAATAGCGTGCATGATCAAGAAGTTTAAACAACACTCTATAACACAGTCAGTCACATGTTTATAACAGAATCACACGTTTATAACACATAGTACTGCAGACCCACAAAGCGAGAGATGTTATAATACGACGTGAGGATGATGAGGCCGAGTGTAAAACTTACCCAGATGTTGACAGACTTGAGAAGTTTGGTTAGTTTCCTTGTTGAACTTACTTTGTGACTTTCTTATTTTTTGAGTAGCACTTGCAAATTGTTTCTTTCATTCTTGGTACCTTTCGTTAGTTGCCACGGTTAGAATTTATATCACAATTGTGAACAGGATTTCGACTCCACAGTATTTGTTCATCAAATTGAGCAGAGCATTTACACACTTTCTATTCCTCCAGGTCAATATGTCGCATCAATTCTTCCCAAATACGTACAGGATGTACGGATGACCTCTATCAATGAGCTAGAAATCCTAATTCACCCAGAAGGTTAGAGTTTGTCAAGTGTAAAATAATGAATTCTTTTACCGTTATTATTTTGTCATAAAATTTAGAAACTCAAGGTACTAGGTAGCCTGAAAATTACCAATTACAAACTGTCTACTCTGTAGCAATATGTCGTATTATTCTGCTGCAATATTATTGTGTTGTAATACAGTACAAGAGGCAGTAAAACTACCGGACTGCAATGAATGGGGACTTGCCACCCCATAACAACATTAAATATTAATATTTACATAGCTTAACTTACTGAAATTATTTGTAATTATAATACTAGTAGTATTGAAAGTATTAAAAGTTTCACTAACTTTATTTCATAGTCAATAGTTATATCGAGTTGTTGCTCTTGTTTATTTCTACGTTTGACAGTTATGAGTTATTCTCTCGCAGGTATAGTACCAGTAATGGGAATGTTAAAAGACCACACCAACGCTCAATTTAAAGCGCTGATGGAGATAACGGCAGTGGACGTACCGTCGCGGCCTTACCGGTTTGAACTGGTATACTGTCTGTTGTCGCACCACTACAACGCGCGCTGTATTGTCAAGTCATACACGGATGAGCTGACGCCGGTAGATTCGGTCACTGCGCTCTACAAATCTGCTGACTTCGGGGAACGGGAGGTTTGTTTTATTTTGTGAGAACTTTGTTGATTACTTTATTATCTAATACTTATGGAAACAATAAATCTATTAGATACAGGTTGTCACAGCATCACAACATGACAAAACCAGACAATTATTATAACTGTTTTCGTGGTGATCATGTGTTAAAGAGGAGACAATTCTGTAATTTGTAAAATTTCAGTGCTTTAGAATGTTACTATCCAATATTAATAGCCACTTTATTGTCAGGTGTGGGATATGTTTGGCATTTTCTTCTCTGGACATCCTGACCTCCGAAGGATTCTCACTGATTACGGGTTTGAAGGACATCCTTTTAGGAAAGACTTCCCTCTTACCGGTTATACTGAGGTACGTAGTTCTCTTCTGTGTCCACTATTATCAACTATATCCACTATTATTCACTGTTATTCACTATTATAATATACACTATTATATCCACTATTATACCATTATGACCACTACTATTACGTGTAATTTATCAAGTACATAATGTGCGAGAGCAGTGAAATGCAACTTGTGTCAAAATGAATATATTGTCAAATTATCTTCCCTTAAAATAATGATTCTCTCAGATACCCATTAGTATTTAATAAATCGAAGTTTAGTTTCCATCATCCTGATATTAATTAAGGTACGGTACGATAACGAATTAGCGCGTGTTGTCTACGAACCAGTCGAAGTAGCCCAAGAATTTAGAAAGTTCGAGATGGACACTCCGTGGGAACTATTCCCAAACTACCGGGAAGCTCCCGAGCATTTGTTGGAAGCAGCGGCACAGAAGGCAGCCGAAGCTGCAGAGAATGATGAAAAGAAATGAAATTAGGGTTTTTCTAGTTATCATAATGATTGATTATAATTTATTTTGAGCTGGTTGCTACATGTGGTTTGACTTGAGCTCCTGATCACGACCCTGATATAAAGCCTGTCCTTTTTGGAATTAATATGTACATACGGTATAGTGCTAAGATATGAGTAGTAGTACGTATAGTGTATAGTGCAAGTGATGAACTACATTTTTGTAGAACTTTATGCCACTTTTGTATGGTTTCATCACATTTTCTGAACTAATGTTGATATGATACAACACAATGACGACTTTTATTGCTCTTCTGTTGTAGTTTGTCCCTCCAACTATTCTACCGAGAGTACTATACGTTTCTTTTTACCTGACAATTTCAGTTTTAATTGAAAATTCTGCCAATGAAATGATATAACCATGTTCATACCTGATACCAAACTTAATATTTTTAACTTTTGAAAATCACTACTTGAATAAAAGTTTTCTAAAATAAGTTCAATATCTTAGTCATGAGTTTTACACAGATAGACTCAGATTGTAAGCTAGCAAGAGAGTACGCTTTGCTTGGTAACTATGATACCGCCATGGTTTACTACCAGGGCGTCCTACAAGAGGTTCGTTTATTTTCAATATATGATACGATCCGTCTTTTAATTTTGAACCCACACGATTGTTCATTTCTTAAATTGTTGATGCACTGCATCACAATATCGATTTTCAGATTTAAAGAAAATCTATTTTTAATATAATCCCTCAAATTGTCCCAGATCCAGAAGCTGCTCACATCAGTACATGAGAATGATCGGAAACAGAAGTGGTCCCAAGTCCGGACCCAGATAAACGTAGAGTACGAGCACGTTAAGGACATCTCCGCAGTTCTCGCCAGTTTCAAGATGTCAGATCCGGTGCCGTCTGCGCGACCTCTTGGTGGACCACGTGATGGACCACGTGATGACTTCATCATGCCCCAGGACGATAACGGATATGATCCAGATGTGTGGCCTCCACCAACACCTGCAGAGAGCAACAGGAACAGAGCTCCTGTTCACAGAGATGTTAGACAGAACAAGAGAAATGATCCTCCTCCTGCGCGAAGAGGTGAGGTTTTGTTTTTGAAGCTCAGGATTCAGAAACTACTTTCGTCCACCTTAATGTGGATTTTTATTTATATACTGCGAACTAAGTCTAATTCTTACTCCGACTGAATTTTGAATCGTAAAATTGAGTTACCTCAATTAATTCTAACTATTAATTTCACTAGGAGCGGGTAATGCAGGTGGACGAGGAAACTACCTAGACCGTGGTAAAGTAGGAAACAAGGCAGCAGCTAAGAAGGAGCCCGCTAAAGATTACCCTGGTAGACCACCTAAAGTTGAGCGTCCTGTCAAGAATAACGAGGAGCCAAAGTTCGACGGATCTGGTTCGTAGAACTTCTAGAATGTAACTTGCCATTATCAAGAGCCAGTAATATTACTACTGATTCTACTGATCAACCTTAGTATCTTGATTTACAAACATCTCATTCTCAAACATACCAACCACATTCCAGGACACGATAAGGACCTGGTGGAGCAGCTAGATCGAGATATTATCGTACGTAACCCTGATGTTCACTGGGCGGATATAGCTGGTTTGTCTGACGCTAAACGACTCCTCGAGGAGGCTGTCGTCCTGCCCATGATGATTCCTGACTTCTTTACTGGCATTAGGTTAATTTATATTACTTTTTAAGTGTATTATATGCTATGTGAGATGATGTGCGTTGCAATATACTGAAATATGACAAACTATGATTTGATGTGTTGTGCGTAGATTTAGTTCGAGGTAATCTATTAAATTAAATCCAATACAAAACAAAATATTCTCCCCTCTAAAAGTTATCAACATGGCTCATTCACTTTAGATATTATACGATGATTTAAAATCGAAACCCCAATTTTCAGGCGTCCTTGGAAGGGAGTAATGATGGTGGGCCCTCCAGGAACTGGTAAAACTCTCCTAGCTAAAGCGGTAGCTACGGAATGTGGCACTACATTCTTCAACGTCTCCTCATCTACCCTAACCTCAAAGTACCGGGGTGACTCTGAAAAACTTGTCAAACTTCTCTTTGAAATGGCCCGATTTTACGCACCCTCCACAATATTCATCGACGAGATAGACTCGATTTGTTCAAAACGTGGTTCTGATTCAGAGCACGAGGCTAGTAGACGTGTAAAGTCAGAGTTGTTGATACAAATGGACGGTGTTGGAGCTTGTACCACTGACGGGCCCACCAAGAGTGTTATTGTTTTAGCTGCCACAAATTTCCCCTGGGATATTGACGAGGCGTTGCGTAGACGTCTTGAGAAGAGGATTTACATTCCTCTACCTTGTCCAGAGGGTAGAAAGTCCCTTCTTGACATAAACCTCAAACAGCTGCCTATAGAGGCTGATATCGATAAGGATAAGATCGCTGACGGACTGATTGGTTACTCTGGTGCTGACATAACTAACGTTTGTAGGGATGCTAGTATGATGTCCATGAGACGCCGAATCCAGGGCCTTACCCCGGAGCAAATCAAAGCTATTCCTAAAGATGAACTTAACATGCCGATAACAGCTCAAGATTTTCAGGAGGCGCTAGCCAAGGTCTCCAAATCTGTTTCCGAAGAAGACATAGAGAAATATGTTAAATGGATGGATGAGTTTGGAGCTGTGTAGGATATCGTTACGGAAGCTCTAAATTTGTGGAACACAACAAATATGTTATTCAATTTAGTGATGTTTAAATGCATTCAAAATATATGTACAAAATTTATTAAGTATATTTAAGATCTTTTAATTTAACTTGAATAATGTTTAATTTTTGTTAATCGTCAGGGGGATAAATGTAATAATCGTATGGGCCTGGCCTAACTAATTAAATGGGCGGACTCAAAGCCGGCTCCGAGCCGCGCAATATTAGTGCTGACAGTAGCGTCTTTTGCATATTTCACCTAAATTTAGTGATGAAAGTATACATTGACATCGTTTTGTTGTGCCCCGCGCAAGTTACGCTACGCGCGCAGCTCAATAAGTCCATAATCTGTACAGTACATGTGGGCTCTTACTAATTCGCTCGCCACAAAATTTCACGTGACTTTGGTTTTTATGGTTTTGCAGCCGTACAAAACCGTTTTACATAAACCCTAATCCTAACCCCGAAGCTATCCATAACCCTTACCACAGCCCTAACCCTTGACGCGGACGGATGTTACTCGTCTAAATTTTTTCGAAGTAGCGCGCGCAGCTTTCTTCTCGATGGCACGAGCTACGAAGTAGCGCGCGCCGGGCCAAATCATTAACAATGGTCAACCCTAACCCGAGCCCTAAACAATCGAATTCATGTTTTACCTGCCTGTCACGTGACCAAAACGGTTTTTTGCCCATAACTCTCCAGGGAAGCATTTTTACCCTACGTCATGGGGGGGGGGGGGGGGGGGGGGTGATTTGGAATCAGCGTCCAAAATACACCGAACCAGATCAATTTCCTAACCAAAGGGCCTTTTCACAAGAATTTTTTTAAATTTGGGCGAGCGATTTAGTAGGAGTGGATATAAACTGCGCCTTTTGTATGTATCTATTTCGTAGTAATATCTTCACATCTTAATACTATAATTGGAGACCTTCGCCGCTTTGACGCGCCGCGCGAACTAGCATTCTTGCTTCGTCGATCGTTGCTCTGCTTCGCAGAGCAACGATCTCGATGGGTTGACGCGTACATCGTCAACCTTGATACATGTTTCGTATCCCAATATCAGAAATAATATGACATACGTTGCATGCCACTTTTCGCGCGCGAAGCGCGCGCCGCCGAAGGCGGAAAAAGGGGCATACCATAAAGGAAATCGGACTTTTTGGAGGGACGCATATTTTGCGTCCCTATTATCCCATTTGACCAAATATGGGGGTAATTGACTGAGATGGTGCGCGCGCGCCACCAAAACAGTTAAATGCATTGTTTTTAACTAAGTTGCAATATTTGTGAGTTTATTTGGTATCTTTGTACTACTTTTATTATTTAAACGACTTTATTAAATCATTGGAACCTTCATACGAACAAAAATGTAAATATTTTAATATTTGTGTAAACCAAAAACTTGTAATTTTGTTCCAAACTGCTTAATTTTTGTACGGCGCTACTAATTCATGAACATCGCGCTATATTTATATTTCGCATTGGATATATTGATGACCAATGATATCGCAGTATTAAAGTCATGTGATACCGCGATGAGCTAGCTGGCTGGCGTCTGCCCAAGATCATATGTATGCTTTCTCCTCATTTATCACTTGATAGCGGTAACTCTTTACATATGCTTTGTGCTTATACTTTTTTGTTCAACCTTTTGTTCAATTTGTTTAACATTTCTTTGGTTATTTCAAACCACTTCAATCCCCAAATTTATACATTTAACCATCTCTGGTTGCTTCCATCTCGTTAAAGCCAAGGCTCGACCGGGACCGCTTTTTTGGCTGGGACTGGGGAAAAGTTTATATATATATTATCTCTGATATTGGGATACGAAACATGTATGCAACGTATGTCAACGCGCGCGAAAAGTGGCATGCAACGTATGTCAACGTCAACCAATACTATAATAAATTACAATAGGGTATATGTTTTGAGAAAGAAAGGTTGGTCCGATTATTAACAAAAGTAAACTTCCAGTCCGAACAAGTATACAACATATTCACATAGCCATGTGCCTACGCGTACTGCGTGACGCGCTTGTTTCACAATTGCAATTGTGTATCACGTCGTGACCCCCACGTGACCCCCACATGTTGATGTAGGATACTGCAAGCGAGAGGGCTCTGGTTAGAGCAATACAACATACAAGTTGGGATACTTGTTCGGACTGGAAGATTGTTGTTGTCATACGGCTCCCCCTGTATCGACACCTAGTGAAACGACCGTGGGGGTCACGTGGGGGTCACGACGTGATACAAAATTGTTGTTACTGGGCCGCGCTCAGCCTGTTATTCCGCCTAATCTCTATGTTTATGAACATGATAGCCTGAGGTCCCCAGGTAAGATTGTTGAAGGTCGAATTAGTACGATAAAAGGGCAAACATTTTATTTTATATGTTCAAAATGATATTTAGATTCTAGATGAATATTTGATGTAAATTATTTCGTTCTTCACTAGGTCGATTTTTTTTGAAATGGGTTTTTAAATTCTTAAATGTTTAAATGGCATAATCAATAATATTTTCCATTTTATGCCATTTCTCCCTTGTTTAATCCTGCTGCTAAAGAAAGTAGTTTTGAGTTTGAAAGGTGATTGGCCGGATATAATTATTAACCATTACATTCAATATTAGTCCAGTCATTTAAGGACAGCTGCCTGCAAATATTCAGATACTCACGAAACTTTGCACAGACCTTCCCAAAGGTACGAATAAACAATTTTCGGTTGGAGACATTTTTTTTACCGTGGGGAAAACCCAGGAGGGCCACGCCCATATTGACCCAATAACGTAACTGACCCCTTGCTTCTGAAGGTCGTAGAGACTTCAAAATAGGCTTAAACGAAGCCGCATATGCATGTTTATATTATAAGAGTTATTGATCAACACATGGCCTAAAATCCTTACTTTTCGAGAAATTCGCCAAAAACCATTTTGGGCGTGGCGCTGAGCCCATTTTACTTACTTTTAATAGGATTGTGATAGAGTCTTTGAATAGAGTGCAAAAGAACCGCAATTGGCATATTAGTATATGACTTACGAAGAAACATATGCCTTAAAGTGCTTACTTTTTCAGTTATTGGCGAAAAACTGATTTTCGGTTCCAGAAATCATGCAAAAATATGGGTATCTGGTAAATTGGGCTATAAAGGCCCTAGAGATTTTTGAATGAGTGCAAATTGTGCAAAATGGTCATGTTTATGTACAACTTATGAAGCAACATGCACCCTAAAATGCTTACATACCTTTGGGAAGGTCTGTGCAAAGTTTCGTGAGTATCTGAAGATTTGCAGGTTCATTTCCATAAATGTCCATAAATGACTGGACTATATTACCGTCTAAAAAAATTATTGTAAAAAGTTAAATTTATGAAGGAGTAATATAGTATATATATAATAATATAGTATTATATATATAATAAGTTGTCAGTGGATGCGAATTATATAACCAATTTTGCTCTATTTTGTGCAAATCTTCTCTGTTTTTTCCCCAAATAACTCGAAAAGTAAGCATTTTAGGGTGCATATTGCTGTATAAGTTGTATATAAACATGGCCATTCTGCACAATTTGCACTCATTCAAAAATCTCTAGGGCCTTTATAGCCCAATTTACCAGATACCCATATTTTTGCATGATTTCTGGAACCGAAAATCAGTTTTTCGCCAATAACTGAAAAAGTAAGCACTTTAAGGCATATGTTTCTTCGTAAGTCATATACTAATATGCCAATTGCGGTTCTTTTGCACTCTATTCAAAGACTCTATCACAATCCTATCAAAAGTAAGTAAAATGGGCTCAGCGCCACGCCCAAAATGGTTTTTGGTGAATTTCTCGAAAAGTAAGGATTTTAGGCCATGTGTTGATCAATAACTCTTATAATATAAACATGCATATGCGGCTTCGTTTAAGCCTATTTTGAAGTCTCTACGACCTTCAGAAGCAAGGGGTCAGTTACGTTATTGGGTCAATATGGGCGTGGCCCTCCTGGGTTTTCCCCACGGTAAAAAAATGTCTCCAACCGAAAATTGTTTATTCATACCTTTGGGAAGGTCTGTGCAAAGTTTCGTGAGTATCTGAAGATTTGCAGGTTCATTTCCATAAATGTCCATAAATGACTGGACTATATTAACGTCTAAAAAAATTATTGTAAAAAGTTAAATTTATGAAGGAGTAATATAGTATATATATAATAATATAGTATTATATATATAATAAGTTGTCAGTGGATGCGAATTTGTACATTCATTTATTGCTTGTTTAATTTGATTTTGTGTTCAATTTACGATTATTTGTATCTGAGATTCTGCGATTAGATTTATTTTGTTGATTGTAATGTTGTGATATTGCATAATTTATTGTAAATATAATATGTGTTTCAGAATTATGTAATGTAACTTGATGGAAATATTTTAAGTGGGCATATCCTGTCAAGCCCGGGATGCATGACATGAAGAATTCGTTATAAGTTTGTATGAAAAGCATTAATAACAATGATTTCAGCTCATCATGATCAGGGTAGCATGAAGCGTAAAGAAAAATGATTAAAAAGGGGGGGGGGGGGGGTGTTTTATTGGTTAGACGGTGCAATGATAGGCAGTAATTGTAGTGTAAAAACAGCCCCACCACTCCTATGGAGATAGATGGTTAGTCATCTTAATAAATAAATAAATGAATATAAATACAAATACAATCCATAATAGAAATAGAAACACTGCAGCGATGTGGCCCTCGCAGCTCAGTGAGAATACTAACATCTTACCCCAATTTCTAAAACAGATTAAAACTTTTCCAAAAACTATCATCATCACTTTTCCAAAAACTATCATCACATTCTCAATTCTTTCTTCCTTCCTTTTTTAAAATTCATAATAATACTGTTCATTTCAATTCTTTCAGTCCTTTCAATTTCTTACACTGTACTAATCATAGTCTGTATCCCGTTCTCACAACGGCCATAGATAGTAGGAGAAAGTAAGTAGTCTGTCACGTTGAGAGCAAGGTGAGAGTAGGTACTAGCCAAGAGGAGAGCCACACTACCACAGAGAGATCACAAGATCCCAAAACAAAGCAGAGATGCACAGGTACCAATTCCTTGTGAAACCCTGTAA